TCTATATCTACAAATAAATAAAATTGAAGTGTCTGTTTGTAATGTTAAAACAACAGCTTTTTATTAAATGCATATGTTCCGCGCAAAAAAATTAAAACCCATGAAATCCATATTCCACGCGGACGAGATCGCGGGGAACAACTAGTACTCAATATAGATAAATGTATACTTATTTTTATTTATTTATTATTTTAATAAATAAATAAAAATAAGTATTAATAATTTCTAGACACATCTCAACAGATATTTCGTTAATAAATTGCTATCCATACTGAAGCATTCTTTTATATTTAGCATCCATTTAACACAAAAAACTGATAAGAATACTTTTTAAACAACATGTAATCAATAAACGATAATCGCGTATAGTGAATTTCGAGGTAAATTATTATATGTATAGGTTTTTGAATCGTCGTAATGATACATATTTCCAAAAGAAAATATCTTCACAATTAATTTGATGTAAAATAACATTAGAAATAACGTATAAAAACGGAGAAATTATCAAATTTTTGATCGAGTTCCTAATCAGTACACAAACAAAAATGGCGAAATGTCATTTTCAAATTTTTTTTCTATATAGTTATTTGTTACAGAGTACACAGATAAAATTCACTCTCATAGATGACAAATTTCAAACACCACAATCTCTAATTTTTTACTCTGCTATCTTCAGCACTGTACACGAACGGAACGATGTCGTTGAGAGCCGTGGTTGCTCACATGGTTAGCGCTCGTTATAAGTATCACAGTACGGGAGCAACCCGGGTTCGATCCCCACTGGCACCAATGAAATTGTTGCGTGCTGATTTAGCTATCAGTTGGAAAGTCTGTTTTTCTGGGCCGTTTTGTTTTGTTACACTTACATCTCGCAAGTCACCTAGGGATCTAGGAGGTTGTCGTTTGCTTATTTTTTATTTTTCGGTTCGGTTTTATTCGTCGGTAAAATAATATATTTATAAAAGTAAAAAAAAAAGTAAAGTTACAGCCTATATACGTCCCACTGCTGGGCACAGGCCTCCTCTAATTTCTGAGAGGGTTTTAAGGCAAGGAAATGTCCGCCACGCTGCCTCAATGCGTGTTGACGAACTTCACATGTCTTCGAAATATATATTTTTTAATTTCTCAGACATGCAGACCCGAGTTCGATCCCCGCCGGCACCAATGAAATGTTAATTGCAATTGTGCTGATTTACCACGTGCTCGGCGGTGAAGGAAAACATATTGAGGAAACCTACACGTCTGAGAATATAATTATAATCGAATGTAAATCAAATTGACATAGGTAAGTACAGATAAAATTAGCGGAACATTAATAAAATTTTGAGATCGTTTTTTTCAAAATTTTATTTATATTCCGCTATTTTTGTCTGTGCTTATATCAATTTGATTTACATTCGATCTCTAAATTGTAGTTTGCGAGGGTAATGGGGATCTATCAGCTCCGGCAAAACACATTTCTGATAAAAGCTATCTAATTTTAAAATTTTGTCTGCCGTCCAAAACGCATCATCTCTTTCAATAATATCAATTTCTATGCCAAACAGAGTAGTATCGAAATCCAAAGTTCAAGCAGGGGTCAATGTAGCGTAGTAATTTAGAGCGCAGGTATAGCTATAGTCATACGAACGTCACAGGCCGCAGCTGACTGAGTCGAATAAAACTAGAATAAGCGCGCGTCACCGCGCATGCATATGTGTGTAAGTGTCGTCCTCCCGCACCGCACCGGGGGAAACATTATTCAGTGAGATGCACGATAATTCATATAAACACGCGCGCGTAAAAAAATACGAAAAGGCCTTTGGAAGAAGGGGCTGAGCTGTGTCGGTACCGACCTTGTCTTGGAAATTTTACACTGCTTTTATTACTAATTTACGCCTAAAGTTGTGTTAAAAATTGGCAATAAAAACGAATCTATGATAGCTCGTAACTTTTTAATGACTTTTTATTTCACTATTCTGTTTCGGTACAGACAAAATTAATAATGAGACAAAACGATATCATGTTTAACGGTCACTTGTATGTACTGTTGATGTACACTGTCAAACAGCGGAGTAAAACCCCTCCGGAATTTCTATGGAAATAATGTCGACTAGTGCCACCTTAAGCAGGAGAATGAATTAAAAACTATGTATATTACGGGGATTCTGGATAATTTGTAATATGGAAGGGAGTCCTGATTGGTTTCCCTCCGTCTGGCAATATACGAATATTTGTATATCGATATATGGTAAATTTTCAAAGAAATGAGTTAAACACTATCTTTGAAATTGTTTAATGGACCAATATTCGCAGTCGTAATGTATTAAAATTGCTTACAAGTGGTGGACGCTACAATAATGCGAAATGAAAGGACGTAGAATCAATATTGTGATATATATATATATATATATATATATATATATATATATATATATATATATATATATATATATATATATATATATTATATATATATATATATCACAGTTGATTATAACCGAACTTCGGTTCATTTTCGCACGATTTCTCGAGAGCGACGTGTCGTGACTTGTTTACGCATTTACTTCAAATACCCCGCCCGCACACCGCAGGAAACATATACCCACGAAAAAAAATGTAACAAATTTCTGCCAGATAAGGCAGAGATCTTTGGTGTTTTTGCACCATAACCTGACTCTGGTAAATTTTAAATATGACTAGATAGACAAGAAAAAGTTGGTTTAATATGATTGTTGAAAACAAATACCCCTTAATTGTAATAAAAAATACTTGAGGTTAATGAATGTTGAATCGAAAACATTATTTTTTTATTTAATTTACGGACTCCTATCCAGATGTTTACTAGGAGAATAGAAAGTTTATTTCATTTTTGTAATATGGCTAATTATTAATTAGGCAGGGATTTCTAAGATTAATAACTAGTTAACTAAGATTAAGGTTAAGAACTAAGATTAAGATTAATGATAAGATAGGAACTGATTTAATATAAGGTTTACATTTACAATGTTCCGAAATAAATAAATACATAATTGACCATGAGTGGGTAAAAATAATATCTTTTATTTTACAGTATCTAATGTTGTTATATAAGGTGCTTCTAAATATATGCCACGGTTGTTTCTATGGAGACTTGGCCAATCAGCTGATCGATTTCCATACAAAGTGCAATTTTTTTTTTTGAGAATTGACTATGGGTTCCTTGGGGAAAGTGGTACAGTATCATGACTAGAACCACCAGTTGCAGCCATGGCATATTGTAGTTTAGAAGCACCTTATATTTCAGTTAAAATAAGTGCAAGTAGGTATTATTTTTCTTGTACCGAATTTCGGCCCATCTCTAATATATATATATATATATATATATATATATATATATATATATATATATATATATATATATATATATATATATATATTAGAGATGGGCCGAAAATGGGCTCATTTTAATATCAAAAATTTAGGTTATCTTTATAGCAGTATTATATTTTCAATTCAAAATTAGTACTGCATTTGTGATAATAATAAAATGTATGTATATAGAGTACTCACTCATTTTCTTTCACTATTATTTCGTGACTTTCTTCATTAATAATAAATGTACTTTGTTCATTCATATTCAAAACACTTTATACATAAACACCGTGTCGAAGACTGCCAAAAAAAAAACGACGTTAGACAATGCACGGCCTTCAAGCCACACCTCCGTGCCCGTCGGAGTGGGGAGCGTGAGGTTTTTTCGTTACGGCGGAATAAATTTCTGGATTCGGTCCCCACGCTCAAGGCCCGCGATAGAAGCTATGCAATAGCTTAAAAAATGTTTTCTTATCGGTCACCTCGCTCAAAAAGTGTAATTGAAAGAAAAAAACTTGAATTAGTATCATAAAAGAGAAAAAAGTGCATAAATAAAATAAATAAATAATTATAATTGCATAAGTTGATAAAAATGCCATGCAATAGCTTTACCGCGGCATTCCCCGAGTGCCACACGTATTTTTTTTCATTTGTTTAGTTTTGTTTACAAAAAATGTAGATAATAATTTTTTAGAACGGTTGTCTTAGTCTGTGCACATGTTTGTCTTCGCGTTTCATAAAAATATACGTAACGTAATGAAATAAATCTTTTTGAATAAGTTTCCATTTTTCGTCAGGATGATTGATATTGCTGGTTGGTAGTTATCAGTCTCATAGACGTTTAAAATATATTTATTTTTTTCTACAAATTTTCATTTCATTCAAAAAACGCTCATGAGACGTATAGTTTTGGATTTTTCAAAATATTTTACTTTTACCACTGGTTCGGGAAAAATCTCTGTCCAGGGAAGAACCAGCAAGAAACCCAGCGGAATCCTTTTTTTTAAAGCAAAAGAATCTATGAACACCGAATCATCTCCCCTACCACAATCCTTATAAATGAAAGATTATGTCAGATTCGCACCGACTATAATCACACCGTCGCCGCATATTGGCTTAGGTTAGACCACGGACACGCTTTCGCACACATCCGCGGCCCAGCACCAGCAGCCTCATGACTATCCCCCCTCGGGAGAGAACAACTTCTCCGTTTCAGGTAAGGCGTTTTGCTAGTGCAATCTTTGTAGATGCTTAACGTAAGGCGCGCCTACCCCGCGGTCTCTAAATCCACCTACGCAACAGTATTTATTTTTGTAGGATAGGGTGGCAAACGAGCACACAGTCCACCTGATGGTAAGCGGTTGCTGCGACCCATAAACATCTACATCTATCCTCGATTACAAATCAAAATGCAGTTGCGTTGTCACCCGTGAGGACTAAGATGGAATGCCTCGTTGCCAGTAAAAAGGGTCTCCGGTTCTCTACACTCACCATACGAAATACAGTAGCATTAAGCTACTATTTCACGCTGGTATTCTGTGAGAGCGTGGTCCTTCCCCGGTCGAGCCGACCCATTCGTGCTACAACTATACTACTAATATAACTGCAGCATGACTACCACGTAAGAGTACAAACAAAATTTAAATTTTTTATAGTTATTGATTTACCTCTTTTCTTTTTCTAAGTTCCATCATAGCCTTTTCATCTGCAAGCCCTTGCCCAGCGATGGAATCCCACGCATCCGACACTAACTTCTCCTCTGCTTTCTGGTTAGCGAGCTTCTCCAGTTTCTCCTCAACCATTCTTTTACGTTCCTCTGCTAATTCTAATGTTTTTTCTTTTCGCGCTTGTTCATCTAGAAAATAAATGTTGGATTTCATTCTATTCATGAACTCAAACGAACTTGCTTTCTGTTTTTGCATTTTTTATTAAAATCGCAAACGAACAAAATCAGTAAAAATTAAATTAGTATAAGGCGTCCCCCACTAGATGGAGTGACGACCTGGTAAGACATGCAGGAAGTCGATGGATGCAGGTGGCTTAGGACCGTGCTTTGCAGTGGACTTGTGAAGGGCTGTAATAATGATGATGATGATGAATGAACCAGGTTTGTATCACAGGCTTTAAATTTTAAGCCATGTATCCTCTCCTTCTCCCTAAATCATGAGATGCCCATACACAGCCGTGGATTTTTGGAGACCGATAAAGAAAACAAAAAATACATTGTGGTCTTGAACGGCCACGACTAGATAAGTTTCGATGGAATTCTAAGCTAAGCGTCGAAAGTGAGTTTAATAAAACTCTCATATTTATACTTATATATAAAATTCCGCCGAATTTTATATATAAGTATATTTATCGATATATCGAAAATCCGATATTTTAAAAAATATCAACAGACCTAGTTGGAACTGATCAGTTGAACTGAACGTGCGTGTCGTACATTAGATTAATAAGGTGTTAGAAGATAAGGATTTAGTCGTACATTAGATTAATAAGGTGTTAGAAGATAAGGATTTAGTATTATTTTAGAGTATCTTGGTATATAAGCCTAATATTTCGTTTCTTAGTTTACTTCTTTGAAAAGGAAAGGGAAGGGTTTAGCCATAGTTGCCATGTTTGGCAAACGGGTTGGAACCGCAGCTAGTCAGTATATTTGAGTTGTTATCAGAAAGATGTTGTTGCCCATCTCCTTCCTGTTTCAGTATCGACGACACCTACGGGATGAAATGGGGTAGTGAATATTCTTACACCGCACCTACTCGGTTAACATTTGGAACTTGTTACTGTAGGCAATGTCCATCCAGCTCTATAAAGATGCTACGTATTCCTGAATACAATTTTGTAGGTTTCTGCTGACTTTTCATCTGCTATCTTTATAGAGCTTGTCCTTCCTACCTTTTAATTTTTATTGCTAATTACTTTATACGTGGTGGAGCCACGCTGCAGCTATGTTATGGTTGTAGCACGAATGGGTCGGATCGATCTGGGGAAAGGCCACGCTCTCACATAATACCAGCGTAAAATAGCAGCTTATTACTGCTGTGTTTTGTATGGTGAGTGTAGATATCCAGAGACACTTTTTTACTGTAAACGAGGTATTCCATCTTAGTCCTCAGGGGTGGCAACTCATCTGCGTTTTGATTCTTAATCGAGGATAAATGTCTATGGGTCACAGGATCCACTTACCATCGGGTGGACTGTGTGCTCGTTTGTCACCATTATTCTATAAAATAAACTTCGTATTTGTACATGTGATTTAGACGCTCCCATACGAACTGAACACATGGATGATACGTATACGTAGCATTGATTATTATTTATTATTACTATTACAAACCTTCTGCTTCCTTTCTCTTGTCCTCTTCCCACATGGACTTAAACCTCAAGGTTTCCTGTTTCAACATCTCTTTCTCCTTCTCCCTTTTAATACGTTTCTGCTCCAGTTGGTAATCTGTGTACTCTTTACACTCTCTGTCTTTGCGGAAGCGTTCAATAGCGTCATACTCCATTCTTGCTGTCTACAAAAGGGTAAATGGAAAAATGACGTCACTATCTGTGGGATTACATTGAGAAATGCTTGACAAACTACCCAATCCTCATGCACTGGGTAGTTTGTCAAGCATACAGTGGAATATTTTTAAAGATCTAACTTATTAGTGGCAGCAGTAATTAGCAGCCGAGGCTCAACGAGGGAGACAATGGAAGTGAAAATCAACAATTTGTGTTTTGAACGAAAATGTTTTCTCTGTTTGGGACCCGTGACTTGCAATTTCAATACCAGTAGAATCAGTTGACTCGTTGGTCTAGTGAAGTAGTGCGACTGCTGATCATGAGGTCCTGCGTTCGAATCCCGGGTCGGGTCGAAAAATCGATTGAGTTTTTCCGTCAAAAAATTCTCAGTAGCTGCCCGGAGTCAGGAAGTTGGCGGTGTCTCACCCTCGTGCCTCGGAAAGCACGTCCAGATATTTTATATCCAGCGCATACGAGATGGATAAATCTATGGCGGCGCTATCGTCACGCCACAAGCAAATAATTAGTTCTTTTTTGCGTTTTTTTTTCAATGAATTTAAAAAAAAAAACCTATTTTCTTTCATAAAATTTATAAAGTTTCTGTCCGACACCGTCCGTAAATTCATGGATACCCTAAGCGCCAGAGTGACGTAATCACTCTAAAGACACCGTCCGCGCTAGCTACCTACACAATATTCCAATAAAAACACAATAGGTACACATAACCAGTGATGTAACTTTTCCTTCATACTTTCATCCTGGCTTAGGACAGCCAAAAATTGAAAAATTAAGGAAAAATTGAGATTTTACTTTAAAAAAATGTTGTTATTTTTCATTGAATTTACGTTCTGTAAGTGAAACCAAACCACTGGTTTCAAGGATAACGGTGTTTACACTAACATCCTGTATAGAACAGCTCCGAAATATCACTTGGAGCGTTGGCCGCTGCTCGGGCAGAACCTTGCCCGGCGGGAGATCTCCCCTTTTCCTTCACGGCCAAAAATCTTCTTCTCCGGCTAAGTTGCGCAGTGGCGTAGCTGAGATGCGGCGCTGAGGACAGCGGGTTCGAACCCCGCACGTTCACCGCAGCAGAAACGAACAAGAATTTGTATAGCCTTGTAGCAGCCAGGCTAATCGGCAATAAATAATATATACCCTGCTGCTACCATAACACAGAAGGCGAAGAAAACATTTATTTCCTAACTATCCCCGGCTACTGAGATACTGCGGGCTGCATATTGATGCGAGATAATTTGACGTATATATTAAACGTTCTAATAAAGAAACAAGAAACAGCCGCAAATATCATTCAGCGCCACATCGTCTTCACACGCCTCTATCGTTATGTATCCGTCGACCATTTTGAAGCCGTTTCTTCAACGCCGCAGCTCGCTTCTTCTTGCTGTTCCGGAGCTGTGTCCCACGCCGTATATACGCAAGTAGTTACGTTGTACCAGTTCTGGCGCACGACGTTCGTTCACTCGTCGACTCACGATCCTAAAAAAAAAAAAAAGGTTTTGGCATGCTCTGATCACGAATCTGCGGTCCATTTTTGCGTAGGATGCACGGTTCCGGAGATGTGCAGATCAATTAACTCTTATCTAATTGATATCCGCTGCGAGCCTCAACCGTCATTAGCGCTCCATTGTCCTTATCTACATATCTATTGTTGATTGACTACCGTCATTATCTATTATTCGTCCAGCGTGTGGGTCGGCTTATGCTATTGTATTATACTCCTTTGTTCCTATCTACAACACTAATCTGAATCATCAATAAAACACATTACCTAATTTTGTTAAAATTTTTATTTATAAAATACAAAATCTTATTACTTATTATCTATAAAATAGGAGCGAAACATCTCATCCACTAACATATCGTTGTACAATGTGTTCTCTGTAAATATACTCGTAAAACTATGCATTGAACATCCCTGAAACTTATATAGCAAATACATTAAGCAATATTCGCCACAAACTGAAGTCCTATCAACATTCCAGTTCCATCTTTTACAATTTCGTACAGGTGCCCGTCCATATGAATCAAAATATTCACCGACGTCATTCGTATCGATATATAAAGCTACCCAATGTGACCCTGGTTTATCATCTGTACCCAAATTGCATATTACCTAGTCAGGTCATAAATTCTATCACATGTTTAATGTAAAATAATTGAAACAAGTTTATTCATTATGTAACCATTTATATACCAAAATGAACTTAACAAAACATAGATTCTTATGACACTATAGTTTATTCAAAATGACCTCCGTAATTTTGAATACAGGCCTTCAATCTGCGCGGCCAGTCGTCTATCCCACCACGAACGAGGTCCATGTCATATCGGCGGCTGCCTTAATTAAAGATGTCTTGAGTGACTCGAAATTGGGATGAGGCTTTGAGCACGCCTTTTCCTCCAAGTGTTACCATATCTTGTAATCTAACGGATTCAAATCTGGACTGGTCTTTGTGTCGGATGAAGTCGATTTCACGCGCCGCCAGCCAGTCTTTTTTTTTGTTTTTAAAGAACGTTACCTCCACACTAGGTTTTTCTCCTGTATCGTGGGGACAGTTTACAAACACAAATTTCACAAGGACAAACATCCAAACTCGGAACAATTACTTTTAGGTCGTACAAATACTTGTTCCGTGCGGGATTCGAACCCGCGACCCCCAAGCGCAGCCACTCATTGCTAAGCCCCTACGCCACGGAGCTGTCAAAAGTCTTGTGTGCTCTTCGCTCTATGAGCTGACGCCGAATCTTGTTGAAATACCCAGTGCCTGTTATTGAACATGGTATGAGAAACAGGTTACACAAGGTTCGTCAGGACTGTATTTTGATACACAACTGCATTCGTTTTTAACCTTTCTCACAAAAATGTACCTCTGTTAAGCCCCAATAAGAAACTCCCAACCATACCATGAGCGAGGATGGAAAATGACCTCGTTGGACACGCGGAATACGGTTGCTCGCTTCTTCACTACTGTGTGCGTACACCTTATCATTTTGTTTGTTGTAGCTCTCTTCTACGGTAAAAATTTTTTTATCCGAAAAAAGAATTTCCCGATATTTTTTTCCCGCGTACCGCTTCACCAAAGCGCGGCATCTCTTCAGTCTCAGATCCATTAGACGAGTATTCAAACGATGTCCTGTTTTTCTTCGATATGCCCGAAGCCCTAAGTCTTCATTTAACGCCGTGGTTCTGCTTAACCCCATCTGAAGGGCCAACAGTTTCTGCTTACGTTTGGGATTTCTTTGAATTCGCACCTTTACAGCTTTTATCACTGCTGGAGTCCTAACAAATCGAGGGCGACCACTTCTTGACCTGTCATCTACACTAGAGTCTTCATTGTATCGTTTGATGGTACGATAAACGAATCTTTTGGTTATATTCAAATTTTTCAGTATATCAAAAAATTTAATTGGCGCGTAATCGCAACTGCAACACGGTCTTTTTTAAGCGTCCACTCCATATGTAAAAATGAGTAAAATTCTAAAAAGTATACAGTTTTATTTTCATGAACAATTCGAATTCAATAAACTTTTTTGTGGCCAGCATTCTAAAAGAAAAGTTTTTACTGTGTGACAATACTTATGACCTGACTAGGTATATACGTTGGTACGTGGGTGTACATGGGCAGTCTGTAGCAGCATAAACATTATTTTCTAGACTGGGGTGAATATTTTTCAGATGTTGTTGTACATCTAGTGTATCCATGATATTACTGCTATTAGTAGATTACTACAGTACAATCTACTCAATGACTAACATAGGAATGATCAATTATGTGATTTCTAAATATTAAATTGCATTTTTTCTGTCATACAAAACGTATTTGAGTCATCAATACACTGAATAAGACGCAACACGAAGAATGTGAGATAAGGTTGTTGACGACGAATGATAGAATTTTTAATATTGAAGCATACAAATGTCCAAAATACAATGATTTGGTAAATGTCATAAATTTAAACAAACGTTATGTGTGTAATAATCATATATTTGCAAAAAAATAATCACAAAATTTTGCATTGTTCTTGTGACGAAGTGTGGGTTTTTTACAAGTGGTTATTGCTTGAAAATAAAATTTTAAATTAATCATAAATTTTGTTTGATTTCCAAAAAACATTAGTACAAAATTGGTTCAACAGAAAAACAATTTTTAAAAATGTTGACGACGAATGATAGAATTTTTAATATTGAAGAATACAAATGTCCAAAATACAATGATTTGGTAAAGATTGATTTCCCAAAAACATTAGTTACAAAATTTATGATTAATTTAAAATTTTATTTTCAAGCAATAACCACTTGTAAAAAACCCACACTTCGTCACAAGAACAATGTAAAATTTTGTGATTATTTTTTGCAAATATATGATTATTACACACATAACGTTTGTTTAAATTTATGACATTTACCAAATCATTGTATTTTGGACATTTGTATTCTTCAATATTAAAAATTCTATCATTCGTCGTCAACATTTTTAAAAATTGTTTTTCTGTTGAACCAATTTTGTCTAATGTTTTTTGGAAATCAAACAAAATTTATGATTAATTTAAAATTTTATTTTCAAGCAATAACCACTTGTAAGAAACCCAACACTTCATCACAAGAACAATGTAAAATTTTGTGATTATTTTTTGCAAATATATGATTATTACACACATAACGTTTGTTTAAATTTATGACATTTACCAAATCATTGTATTTTGGACATTTGTATTCTTCAATATTAAAAATTCTATCATTCGTCGTCAACATTTTTAAAAATTGTTTTTCTGTTGAACCAATTTTGTATTATATAGTATACTATAACTAATGTTTTTGGGAAATCAAACAAAATTTTTGATTAATTTAAAATTTTATTTTCAAGCAATAACCACTTGTAAGAAACCCAACACTTCGTCACAAGAACAATGTAAAATTTTGTGATTATTTTTTGCAAATATATGATTATTACACACATAACGTTTGTTTAAATTTATGACATTTACC